GCTTGTAGAAAATATTCGTACACATTAGGAAACAAGAAGGCGGGTAGCAGTGGGGTGTAATCCGTTCTGAATGGAAATAGTTTCCGGCTGAAACGGCATTAGGATCGGAGGCAAGGGTCATGAAAATGAATTTTGACTTGTTCATCGAACTTTCGACGTATAACTCGTTTTGCAATCAGTAGGTATCTATATCTACTGTACAAGTTATAACGACACAGCTAATATCTTCTTATTTACCCCTGTACGACGAATACGAAATACGAACGAACTTTGTACCATTAATATACTTTTACAATTGCCTCATTTATAAATATGAAAATAATTTTCATTATCGAGTATAAATATTTGTAATTCGGTACAAGACCGGCTGTGATGAGCTTCTGTTTGCTTCACTGTCGAAAATGCAATTTCATTTCGTATATTTGCTTGTGATATACGCCACTGTGGTATTTTGAACGCTAATTAAGCGAAATGTTTTATAAGGGTAATAGTTATCTAGATATTTCGTTTATTATTTATATACCATTGTATATTCATGGAAGAAAATATACCAAATACATTTGACGGATTCGTTAGTCCATTGACTATTCAATCTAAAATGAGTAAAAGATAGCTTACTATATTTTAATATACTTATTGTGTATAAAACTAATAACCAGTTCGATCCGGAATATGTTTCTAGATCATTTTTATAAAGCTTGTTGGACTTCGTCTAGGAACTAAGTCTAATGGTAGAGATATCAGCCTTTCGTCCAGGATGAGAATTACCTATGAAACCTTATGAATACCTTATGTAAAATGCTTTTAGTCTGTGGGTTTGAATGCCCTGATCCGAAACAGTCCCGTGATCTTGGCTATTACAAAGTATCCGAAACGTCGGCAAATTTAGAAGTGTAAACAAAACGAAACAGGTACTCAACAAATCTTAAAATTAAAAAAATTAAATGTTATTTAAAGGTATTTTGTTCATAATACAAAACTATGTAAAGCTGTGATTGTAAATATATTATATTTGCTAGTGATTAATGAAATCAATAAAATGCTATAAATCTAAAGACAGACATAAATATATTCACAGTACACAGTAAATCTTTTTATATAAAACATAAAATACATACATAAACACGTAAATGTTATGATGACATGAACATTTTTACGAGACCACCATAAGAGCAATGGAGCAAATTTATTTTACCATAAACAAAGGGCTAGTTATATAAAATATACTCTATGGAAGGTCGTATTCTGATCCCTTACTTTCTATAGACATATATTACAATAGATTTTCAATGTTTTTATGATGGGTAATTTTATCCGACCCGATTTGATTTTCTTAATGTTTTCACAGGGATTATGATAAAAGTTATCTGATTCTTCTTCTTCAGATTGTTCGATCCATATTACGGATCGATTTTATTTCTAGGTTTTTATTTCACCTGAAACTGTATATTATGTTTCTCAGTAATTCGTTTGAACCTTTCACACTTGCACGCCATAAAAGTAAAACCTTTAAAAAAAATTCAATATTATATATCTGAATAGTTTGCTCGTTTGTTTGAATTCGTTAGTCTCACAAGCTATTGATTCGAGTTGAAAAAATTATTTTTGTGTTGGTTAAAGAATTTATTAAGAAAGGCTTTGGGCTATAATACATCATGTTGTGACAAATAGGAGCTAAGAAAGATCGGAAATGTAGAAACAAACGAGAAAAATTACTTATCTTTGCGAGTTTAAAAAAATATGTATGATAGTATGTCTTTTCAGATAAACATGCAAGAACGACGCGGCGGGACTCGGACGACGTGCATTGTGGGTAACAGCTATTATTTTGTTAATTATGTTATGCAATATGCAATTAATGTTGGTGCACACAATAACTATTCTACGCGGACGCAGTCGCTGGCTCAGCTAGTTCTTTATATGACAAAAGAACGTTTTCGAGTACAGCTAGGTATTGATATACAATTCTTGCCTATGCCTAACCTAATGGAGGTTATCGACGTCGCGACGTGCATAAATTCGGGACAGAGGCGGTGTTGTTCACCCCCCTAAATTCTACCTGTGAGATAAATCTCGGGGTAACGGTAGCAAATAACGAAATGCAGCGAAGTGTCGTGCCCACGAGGCATTTATCTCATAACACCGGAAAGTAAACATCCACCCAGCGATCCCGGTTACGCGTTTGCACGCTTCTCCCTCTTTTCGAGTACTTTGAGAATAACCCCTCGACTTTTTATACTTCCTCATAATATTGAAGAGACTCTCATATTTTTATTAGATGCAAAATCAAGATCTGTATGTATACGAGGATGTTATTTAAGCTATTGCTTTTTGATATTATGGAAGCGTTTATTTGAACAGGTTTTTATCTTAATTTTTTTTTAATTTCGTAAAACAGCCAGTCTTGAAATTTAGCGCATAAACCTAACGGCCAATGCCAACTCAATCTTTAATTCTATATCGATATTTGTATGTTATTAAGCATAATTATTTAAGTGTTTAAAAATTCTTGGTTCGCATAAAAAACACAAATATTTCTTCTACAAAATTTTTAGGAGATTTGTATTTTAATCTTGATAAATCAATAAGTTTACATATATGATTATATTAGAAAAGACCAAAAGCTAAAATAGGCTGACTGCGCATCTTCTTCTTTGTGTTTCCTTTATCATAAAGAAGTCGTATTACGAAAAACTAACTTTTTCAACAAGTAACGGATTTTGAGTCTGAGAAAAAAGATTTTGCCGTCCACTGCTACAAGTTACAAGGTAAATAAATATAATTTTATTTGCTTTCAATTTTCCCGTTAAAGTTGGAAAACTAAAGAGAATTCCGCAGCTCCAGTCAGTTAGTGACTAAAGTCGGGACGTGACCGGAAATGAATTTCCCGGCGCATCACTAGCCTTAGCAAACTACGTAGAAGAAATTCAATTTGCTTTCTACAATATTGTATTCTATGGTTTCTGTTACGTTAGCACATTCGCTGCACATTCTAGTACTTTGTATTAAGTTTGCCTTCTCTGAACACTTTACGCTGAAGATAATGAAAAAGTATGGTATTTACTAAAGTACGTACACACGTAAGTATACATTAGGGTAACAATTTCGTCGTGTAACGCGTTATGCAGCCAACTTATATGGCTTTTAATTAATTTAATTTATACATATAGCATAAAGCTGTAGAGTTTGTTGGTATTTTTGTTCGAAATTTCTTTTTGTGTTTGTTAAAGCATTTTTCGAGGAAGGCTTTTGCCATTTGCCACATTACTCTGTGACCAATAGAATCGAAGAAGCAGTGGGAAAAGTGGAAAAAACGTGAAAAATTGATTACCTTGTTTGTTTCCGCTGATACGAAAAAATATGTATGAAAGAACGATTCCTCTATAAACGATCTAAAAAATGTTCACGACGGTATATGTCTAAGTTATCTTAATAATAAGATTAACTTGCAAGAACGACAACGTTGGTAATAACTACAATTTAAAAGGTGACGATTACGACGAAATTAACTTTTCTACGCGGACGAAGTCGCGTCAACAGCTATCCTTACTAATATTATAAATGTGAAAGTAACTCTGTCTGTCTGTCTGTTACTCTTTCACGCCAAAACTACTGAAATTTGGTATACAGATGGCCTAGACCCTGAGGAAGAACATAGGCTACTTTTATTGCGAAAAAGGGGTTGTTAGGGATTAAAAGGGGGGGTGAATGTTTGTATGGAAATTCGTGGTTTTTGAAGCTAGAACAACGAAACTTTCTTCTTTGGCTTTCTGGGACTAGACGTGGGAGTGGGAGTGGGAGATGGGGTGGTAGTGGGAGTGGGAGTGAGAGTGAGAGTTAAAGTAGGAGTGATGTGAGGTGAGAGTGTTGCGGCAAAGTAGCACTTACAACAAAGATTGGCTGCGATAAATGCGCAATTACATACATTAATAAACAGCCTAAATCATTAAAATTTCTACCCCAAGTCACTATACCACGCGAACGAAGTCGCGGGCACAGCTAGTCATAATAAAATAGAATAGGATTACATTTATTTACAAATGGTTCTCGATGTAAAATTAACAAATAAAATACAGTTGCCTCGGACACGATATCATGCAGCTGTGTTGGGACGCACAATTCTATTTGCCACACCGAAACGCCAAATATTTTTTTTATCTCTTTAACAACTAATTGTTTATTTCTTAACCGACAAACAAACTGCAGACCCCATGATATTACGATATTTAAACATGAATAGGCAGCCCTCAGAAGAATAATAATCTTTCTCTGTATCGTAATGGTATAGCGACGGACAACACAGACCTTAAATAAAATATATTGTTAATAATAACTCAGTAGCGTTATCTTTTCTCATTGTAATTATAATTACCGGTCCACAGCGTTATTGCACCCTCTTCTCACGGGAATGATACATTATAACGATAAAGTACTGATAACTCGTGTGGAGCAACTTGGCAACTCGAAACATTTTTCTCTAGGGCTCCCTTTATTTGGTAAAATTTTTTAAACGAATAAAATGTACGTTCGAAATTCGAAAATAAGTTATTTTATCACTTTAAAAAGTAAAGTTAAGTTTCATGGCTGCAAAACATCCGAAATAGTAGGCAATTGTTTAAATAATTTAAAAATAATATGACTAATATGTTTCGCGTTTGAGACCGTTAAAATTGTTATACTTAAAAATTTATGTGTATTTCGTGTTTGTTTTTTTTTTCGAATTATATTAAACAGTAATTACCCGATATAGTTTGAAAACCTGTAAAACGCTGTTCACATAACTAAAACTTGTTAACGGTTTAAAACGCAAAATTAAATTATAACTTTTAAATACGTTTCCGATGATTTCCATATTAATACTTCGTCTATATAGCATATTCATTCTTGATTTAAACTAAATATATTTTTTACTTAACTTCATAATAGTGTTAATTCTGTATTAGCTATCTAATGCAATTAAGAAAACCAAGTCTCCGCTTTGCTGGAACTAGAAAGGCAATCTAGGATTTTAACTGATCCTGATTAGTTTTAGCAATCAGCTCAATCGAAGCAAAGGGATAAGTTGCTAAGATAAGAGAACCTCGCAAACTAATTATAACAGTTGTTATAATATATGTTAGATTGGAAAAGCCATCGACATGGGCGCGACTGGAACCTGTAACCACATCACACCAAGATTACTCAGCTACAGTGCGCAAATGTGAGCATTCGTTCGAGGATTCAGTAACACCCGAAAACTTTAAATTGTGTGTAAGCGATGTTAAATTACAACCCATCTTCTTCAAGTACTGCTGAATCATAAACCGACTTCTGGTAGAAAAAAAAAGCAGCCAAGTACGATAACTTATAGAATAAGTAATGAATAAGATAATAGTAATAATAATAAGTTAAGTCGAGCATATTAATCTATACTAATATTATAAAGGGGAAAGATTTGTTTTTTTTTAACCTAACGGATAAACTCAAAAAGTACGGAACCGATTTTAATAATTATTTTTAATTAAAAAGCTACATTATCACTGAGTAACAAATGCTATATTTACACATGTTATTTCACAATGATGACACTATATAATTTAAAAGTCGAAAATAAATTGACTAGAACTCGGTAGCTCGGTAGGCATAGTTCAGTTGGTTACAGCAACAGCACGGAACGCTGACGATGCCGGTTCAAGCCCTGCCCGAGTCGAAACTTTTTTCGCATTTTTTTTTCGATTTTTAAAATAAACCTAAAACATTTCTTCACAAAGGAATATTATCTTCATTCATTTGTATAACATAATTGTCATCATTAACTTATGATTTATACCAATTGATTTTAATATCAATTTATACTCGTTTAAGGGCAATAAATTAATGTAAACGATCGCATAAATATTAACTAGTTATCGCTTGGGGATATTTCAAACGGTCATTCGCTCTCCGCATTGAAAATTGAAGACCGTTTTAATTTGTAGCTGGATCTGAAACGATATTTAAATTATTGTTTGTTTTTTTGTTTAAATAATTCCTATCCGCTTATTTATATACCTTTTAAATACCTACGTATTACATTTGATATTGAGCTGTTCTTAATATAAAAAAATAATTTATTTACAAGTTACCCACAATAAAAACGAAATATGAACTAAATTAATTTAATAACTATAGTTAGACAAATAATATTAATAAATATTTTTTATGATAGGGAGAAAGAGACAAGCATGAGTTTACTTGATGTATCAATATCCTATGCGCAGCAGCCTATTTTGTCTTTAGACATTTAGTAGTCCACAGACTGAAACTGAAATACGTGTACGCATTTTTTTATCCGTGAACGTTGGTACGTGACCCCGGCGGAATTGACGATATTCCCACCCATTCATTTAGAAATAAATTTAACCAATATATATCGCGTTGTAAACCGTTAAAGTGTTTTATTTAAATTTGTACTAGTCGTGTAACAGATAGTATTTAAATAAATATTTAAATTCGCTTAAAAAGAATTGTAACCCTATCAAATTACGATGACAGCAAAGTTAAAACATACTTCAGTTTGCGTAAAACATATTTTAATTGTAATTGTAAAAACGGTTTTAGCTTAAACAGCAGTAAGTACACCATTTGCTAGTACACTACAATGTCCAGCCATATACACGCTCCAAACGAAATTATCCCATGTGAAACGTTAATTAAAGTCCATTATCGATTTACCGATGGCTTCTGTTTCCCGATAGTTGTGGTTTGGTCCAGCTCTATTTGCAAGCCACTGGGCTTGGACCACTAGGTCCCAGGGCGGCCGCCAACTGCACTTAGTGGATCGTATCGGAGGCTGTATCGATACCATGATTCAGGTTTATATTAAACCAGTGATTTCAGGCTAGTGGAAATGAAAAGGTCGGGGTAAGATTTTGGCTTAGGTATACCCACTTTAAAAAAAGATTTTTTAAATCGACTGGCCGTACCTAATTTTGTTAATTCTTATGAATTTGAAATTACATATTTATAATAGTTAAGTATACGGATATCGCGTTATAAAAATAATATGGGAAAGTAATTTATTATAAGTCTGAGTATCAAAATATGTCAGATTTCCCTATTTGGTCTCAAAATGTGTGTGTGTGTCTTACCCTATGTAAGGAATGAAGAGGGTATTTTTTTGTTGCAGTAACACTGATCGATTTCATTTACAGGCATACTTAAACAAACCTATGGGATATTCCGACTGAACAATACTTTCCTAGTATTCAAAACCACAATCGTTAAATTCGTGTTTAATTCAAACAGTTGAAGGTGTACTAATATATCGGAAATTATGTATTATCTGTAGTTAACGCGTGAAGTACAAATAAAGAACGTTTAACTGTTTAAAACACGAAATATTATAACTTATTGTTACCATAGATTAGGTAATATATTTCACGTTGAAACCGTTAATAGTGTTTTGTTTAAATATATAACTAATTTTTAAAAACCTACTACACTTTCTTAAAATAGCAGAAGTTAAATATTACTTCGCAATATAACATTAAAATATTATATTTATAATTTAATGAGATTTCCGATTCAACAACTCATTAAGATGAGTCGAAATAATCCTATATCCGTGTCGACAATCAGCGACTAACTGCCGCTAACCGAGTCTTGTTAATGAACTCAACTTAACTAGATAGTAACACGAACAGAACCTAATTACAGTGAATTCCCATTGTACATTTTTATCATGTGTACTTTGACATTTGCTGTATAGGTACTGTTGTCAAAACACATACGGAAACACAGGCACACATAAAATGATTTATATACACAAGCTCAATTAGTAGAGCGCAAATTGTGGTGTCTAACAGGGACACAACCAAGTCTTATTTTTTCAATAATTTAAAACAGAAAGAAATGTTTTGACTAATACACGCTTTTAACCGGCGAGACCTATACTTGCAATTCGAACCAGTAGTTCCTGAGATTAACGCGTTCAAACAAACAAACTCTTCAGCTTTACATATTAGTATAGTTATAAATATGATATCAATTATAACGTAAATTGAATACGAACTATTGGAAAAACGTGAATCAATAGAATACCTATGAAAAATTCAATTTCCCGAAGCCCGTGTTGTTATTTCTTTATCAGAAGGACCAATTACGGTGTTTTATTAGAGGACGAGGAATCTTCGCTCCTTTTCGAATTGATTTGATGAATAATTTTCCAATTGAAAGGATACGGACACGGGAAATCACAGTGTTTGTTGTACATTTTAAAAGCGATTTGGATTTTATTTCTTCTTACCAGGTACGGTAGACTGGTACGTATAGAGATTTATTATATGCCAATTAAATTAATTAATTAATCTTTCAACTAACAAACAGACAAAAAAAGTAGTAAGAAACGACGCAGTAGTAATAAATGAAAATTTTATTTTTTTCTAAAATTGTTTTTGCGTTTTGAACCGTTACAACATTCAAACGTTTTATTGAATTCTCGCGTAAACTACTTTAATAAAAAATAATACATATTTTATCATTTTACGGGACCGTTATAGACTTGCGCAACTCACTCACTTCAGGGACATATATGCCACATGAAGTCCCGGAAAAGCGTTGTGGACCTTTACTTTTAGCGTGACTAAAAGTTTCCCTTTATTAGTCGATGCTTATAAAAATTGTAGAATATATTAATATTAATACATAAGTAATGCCACTGTATTAAAAATAACTATGTATGTACTTTAATTGATAAAATACGCTAGACATTATGCTCCACTGGGTATATTTGCGTCATACATCATACCAGTTTTGAATTAAAAGATAAAATTATGCCTATTCATTGCGGTGGCTCGTCAATTTCTGTGAAAGTTATTAAAAACACCCCCGTCGAGCGAATATTGACTTTTCAAATAACAAAAGCATTAAAGAATCCCGTGGGAATTAATGGCTGCCCCCATTATCGTTAAGTGCTATTAAAGCTTATGTGACTTGACAGAAGTTTCGTTTTCATTTTTTTTTATTGTTTCAGCTGATCTGAACTTTGACAGGTGAGCTTCGATTAGAGGACTTAAAAGAATTTTATGAAGATTAATTTTTGACAAGCTTTCTTGCTTGGTAACTTCTCTTTGATTCGCACAAAATTGTGAAAGTCAAATGCACCCTTGGGACTTGGGGCGAACATATTTCTGCGTCCGTTTCACTGATCGCTTTTTTTACAAGCAAGCACTTGAGCAGACCCCTGTGTCCTGCTCGACCGAAACAATCTATTGTTTCCCCGAAATTAATTGGGCTTAGCGTAACGCGTTTATTAACCATTTAGCTACAGAGGCGGTCAACGGATCGGTATTGTTTTATTATTTTAACAACATATGGAAATCTAACAGCTCGTACAATACGATAGTCGAAATAAAATATAGATATCAAATATCTTATTAAAAGTTTTCGCCTCTAGATCCAATAAATATACAAAACATGCGAGCAGATATTAAAAATGAAATAATGAATTATTTTCATAATAAATGATTGAAGTATTTGGAGTTATATTTAGGAAAATTCAGTTCCAAAAATCACCACAAATTTAACTCTCATTATTTATTTATTTTTCCTAGTGGAGATCTTTTCTCAATAGAAGGAATTTAAGAGGTTTACATAAAACTAAAATATACACACAATATGCCTTTACATGTAAACACCTAGTGTTTTATATGGCAAATTGTAAAGTATACAAAGAAAATTACTTAGCTAATTCAAATAACAAATAAACTCATTCTGAAATTGTATACTTCATTTTGGTTTTACAAATGCGATAATTAAATCGTCTTATTCTACACAAAACAATATACGTACAGATGTTTTAGAGTCTAAAAATAAAACTTCGATAAGCTCCAACAAAACTTAAAAATATAAACGTCCTAAAGAGCATGGGAGCAAATCCAACGTTACAGAAAATTGGCTTTAATACAAGTGTCGCTGTGAATTTAACGAGCTACAACTTTTAATTACCAAACTTAGCCAGGGACACTACAGCGACCGCGGCGGCCATACAAATAAAATATAGAGTACTTTTAATTTATTTAGATGACAAAAAGCACTTCAAACGAGTGCACCGGAAAAAAATTCTGTACAAATTTGAACGTTCAGAAAGCTTTTTGATCATTTTAATTACATTTTGTTCTGTACACGTGAATTTCGATTTCGCTTTTGCTATGTTTTTAAACTGTATACTGACAAAATGAGGCTTGATACGATAGAAGTCGATAAACTCACATTTCACGTTATTTACTGGTATGTGAAAGTTGTAGAGAGAGACAACACATAATATACGACAGCATAATGGGATATGTTGTCTTTCTTTACGTTTTAGAATGGATTTCAAACACATTATTTGTTATAGATATTGTCGACTTAAAATCGCAAATTGTCGAATTAAAATACCCCAGCCATATAATATAAACAAGATTCGCTATCGCCAATTTGGCTTTCAATATTTTAAAATCCACAGACTGAAATCGAAACGCTAATTCACGGTTTTTTATCTGTGGACGGTTTATTTATATATACGGACGGTATTCCAACCACCCACTTACTATCCAGATTTCTAGTCGTATTCCAAGATGTTTCAGAAAAATTTACATCGTCATTCATCATGTGTTCATATACGTCAAATAAATATAAAGCTACATGCTTACATGCCTCTACCCAATAGATCTACCGTGTTCACCCAATTAGTTAAAGCGATGGCACGCAACGATACGGTTACAAGACCCGCCCGAGTCGTATTTTTTAAAAATTCAAATATTTTTTGAAGATCTTGATTTTCTTAATAAATACTTACGCCTCAAACAGAATAGACGAATAGAACTCCTCATTTACTACAATTTCCATACTCGAAATGTTTGTCTTTGCGGCGACAGATGACTAATGTGTTTGCAGAAGCTGCGGTCCAGTTTTCCTTCCCCTGTTTACTTTCCACATGACTTTGACTAACTATCTGTGGTCAGCTGAATAGCTATTGAAATTGCACACGATCGATACCCAAGTATACATCAATCATTCGAGTCATTATTACTCGATTTTCGTTATGAAAAACCGTCCTTATGCTGTGAAGTTTACATCGATATTGTTTTAAAAATATACTCGTATTATAACTATATGAAGTAGATTTTGAAGATATAGGTCGAAGTTGTGTTGGTCAGTCGCTAGTATTTAAAAAGGATATTAATTAAGAATTTATTATCGTTGTTGAACTAAATATGTGTACCATCCAAAAGGTTGAATAAAAGTAGTAGTTCTTTTCAAGGTACACACACTTTAATAAAATGTGTTTAAAGATTATGACGATAATCAATATTTAAATAATAAAAATGCTTGGGGTGTGAAAAATATGTAATGCACTAAAAGTTGTGAAATTTGGCGATAAAAGGAGTGACGGCGAGTTTATTGCCAGTTCTTCTCGTTCGTTCTACGCCCTTGATTTGAGAACTAGTAGTAAATGCAAAGTTAGATTATTTAGTTTTGTGACGTTCATAAATGTACCTAGTTCCCTAAACGAATAAATTATATTGATTTTAACTATTTCTTTGACTACTACTACATAAAATACTGTCTAATTTACGCGAGTAGTGCACATTTAAATTAAACACCTTAACGGTTTAAAACGCGATATATTAGTCAAACTTATTTGAAAATTATTCGAAACGTCGGGCCGAAGTTGAAAATCATTTTCAAATAAGTTTAACTAAAAAAATATCGCTTTTTAAACCGTTAAAGTGTTTTATTTAAATACAACTACATAATTATTTATCATTCTGTCTGGAAATATTCAGAAATCCGCAGAGTGAAACCGAAACGCGATTAAACTTC